TTGAGGAAGGCTTCTGCAGGCTTTGCAGGCCGAAAACTAGGCCCGTTGTCACTTCCGGTATTTTAGGAAAAAACAGGAAGTGATGAAACGGGCCTAGTTTTCGGCCTGCAAAGCCTGCAGAAGCCTTCCTCAAGCCTCTGGGAGACCAAAAAGGGCCTCAAACTGGCCAAAAATCAGTTGTGACGTGCACGCATGCACAGTGAGGTAAGTTTGCCTGCAACCCGTGTGCCGGCACAAATGGCTCTGTGTGCCATAGGTTCGCCATCATGGTCCCAGTCCCCTTTTAGCTGAGGGAGCATTTCCCAATTCCGTCCTTTGGGCAGGCAGAAAGGAAGCTCTTTTTACCCAGTGAGGAATTTCAATGGGCAAGAGAAGGCAGGACACCTGGAGAGGAGATCCTGCAGGAGATACTTTCTCTTGGTCCTGGCCTTCTGAGACCTTTAGCGCTTTGTCAGGTAGAAAATGTCCTGGACCTGCCCAGCCAGAAGTGGCTACAGGGAACGCATAGGCACTGTTGAGGCCTTTAATCCTAAAACCACCTGATAGGACCTTTTCTGTTGTGTTGCCTGTCCCCTGGAACATGAGGCCCTGGAGGTTCAAAGGCACTGCTGCCCTGCTTTAAAGGGGCCACAATGACCTGCCTCTTTCCCCCAAAGGTGGAGTAGAAGAATGTCCCTCTGTGGGAGTTTTATTAATGGTTCAACCTAGGTTCAACCCTGGCAAGAGCTCCATGGGAACACGCAAAGGCGCCGCTAAGCAGTCTCAGGTTTTTTTCATGGGTAGCTTTCAGGCCCGTCTTTCACTCTCCTGGGGGCACTTCTTTGAATGGTGGTGGGGGAGAGCAACAGACCCTTAAATAATGGACATCCAGGAAGACCACTCATACTCCTGGAGCATAAACATTAAGGTGGTGTTGGCAACAAGACCACCAGCCTTGAGAAACAAAAAAATTCAGGGGGATAATCAAGAATGACATCTTCTCCTGCATCCTGAGGACATGGGGTCTAAACTCCTGTTTGCTACTAATAAATGGGTGCATTTGGTATTGGGCCAGATCCTTCATGGTGACCAAGTTGAGAACAGATCCACCACATGGAGTCTCAATGGATCAAATGGCCATTACCAGCCTCGAGAGTCTCCTCCACTTTCTAAGGACAACAATGCTAGAAAGTAAAGGTTCCCCCCCCCCCATGTGACTGAGATACAAGACCCCGAGTTTATTTATATTTGCAAAGTATTTGTGGAATTATGAGAAAACAGAGAAAGAAAGAAAGAAAGAAAGAAAGAAAGAAAGAAAGAAAGAAAGAAGAGTAAATGTCAGGATACCATGAATTCTTTTATATGAGAAACTTCCAAGCCTTTATTGTGTAGTGCAGTCTTAAATAAATGACCATTTTAGGTGATTATTGATATTAAAAGGCCCTATGATTGGTATTAAAAGACAGGGAGGAAGTACATGATCTGGATTCAGTATAAGAAAAATAACACACACACTCCTATATAAAAGAGACCTTTGAAGACTGCATAACTTAGCAGGAACATTTTCTTCATATGTTCATGACCAAAGTGGTGTTTCCATAAATAAAATATCTGATATAAATGTCTTGCGGTGAAGCATGAATTAGTTCTGTTAAAATTTGGTGAGAGATCATCTATTTTATTGTGGGCTCAAAATATAATTTAAAAGCTGCATTGGAAAATGGATTTGTTTATGGGTCTTTTAAGAGGACATTTTCAGCATTTGTGCTGAAGGAAAAAAAAATTGATGTGCCTGTACAAGCAGAGGGTCTCTTAAAAGTTGGGGAGTCTCTTGGGGCTTATATTACTTCAGGGGAAACTCCGGTTCTCAATTTCACTGAGTGTGAAATTATTTGTGCACATCAACTGCATCTCTTGAATGTGAAATCATATCATTCCTGTGCTGACAGAGAAAATTAAGAGCCAAAATGAATAGATTGTTTCTCTTAATCAAAGGCCAGGACAAAGCAGAACAATGCATGGAGGGGCCTGTTTGAATTTAGCAAGGCATTGATGTGGGGAGGAGGGGGGAACAAAGGAAGGGGGCATTGCCAAATTGCATATGGGAACAACAAACTGATATCCATCCTTTCAGAATTAGATTGATATATGCTATTAATTAACATCTTAGATTTTTTTTTTTTGGACAGATGAAAAAGAAGAAGAGTTTCAAACTCCTTGATGAAATTCTGGGGAGTCATTTTCCTTAGGAAATAAATTTAGCCTTCCTTTCCTCCTTTTAGAATGTTCAATCATGTTATTGTCATCGTACTGCTTGGGTGTTTTGTACTGCAGCCCCACCTGCAACCGAGCATGGGTCTCAGACATCAAGAGCCTTTTTGTTTGGTTGCGCGAGCAAAACGAATTCTTAGAAGAGTGGGAGCAGGTTAGCAATACAGAAGCCTAGCAGTTACATTGTTTATTTATTGGACTTACATGCTGCTTTAATTGCCGCCGACTGTAAACGGATTATGTAGCTGGTGTCTATAACTCAGATTAAACAATAATGACCAACATAATCTATAGCGATGGCAAGAGATGACCACCTCATCATGTAGCCATTATTGAGGCCTACTGAAACAGCCACGTTTCCATGGTTTCCTCAACCCTAGGAGGGTTGTGGCCAGTTGCAGAGAACGGGCCTCTGGTAGCATCGGCCATGCAGAGTTCTTGGCCCCTGAGAGAAGCAATGTGGGGAGAGCCACTCCTTATCTTTACTGAATGGGCAGATATAACTGGGAGCAGGTGGCTAAGCAGAATTTTGAAGGCAACCACCATGAATTACATCCACAAGCTAAGTAGCAATCAAAGCAGAAGGGTTACACAGGAAACACAGCTATCACATTCTGGACCTCGTGTGGCTTCCAAATGGTGGCAAGAGCAGACACAATGAAGAAGACATTGCCATCATCCAAGTGGCAGATGACCAAGGGATGAGTTACTGTGAGTAAAATCTTCTGGTCCAGGAAGGATCATAACTGGCCCTCCCAACTACAACTGCCACTTGTGACAGCACTGGGTTGAGGTCTAAAGCTCAGCATCCTCACAATACTGACGATGCCTGATCTATGTTGATGGGTGACCTCCCCATGGCTTCGTGTAGACATTAAATCAGAATGGGGGAGCATGCAGGCCTAGAACTCAATCGCGAGGGCTCGCTGCCTTAGAAGAAAGAGTGAGGAGAATCCTCAGGGACGACTCACAACCTGGTCAGCCCTTCTTCACTCTCCTATCATTGGGTAGGAGATTGAGAAGCATAGCCAGCCGCACGAACAGGCTGAAGAACAGTTTCTACCTGCTGTGTTCAAGGACTAACGGCGGTCCTCCCTCTGGTCCGCCGCCTACGCGGGAGCGCCGATCGCTCCCATTGGCTGATGCCGTTTGACAGCCGGCTATAAAAGGGAGCTGTCAAACGGCATCAGCTGTCACCGCCAGCTGGCTGTCAATTAGCCCCGGCAGCCGCGGCGACCCTTTATTCATTAGAATAAAGTTTGTTAGCCTCAGCCTGGCTCCGCCTCTATCTGTAACCGCCGCTCTACAACACTGGCGACGAGGGCGGGATGCAGCAAAGATGACCAGGCAAGACAACTGAGCCGAAGTCACAGTAAGAAAGAGCTGAAGCCGCTACGAGCTGATCGAAGTCACCGCCATTAGTCCTTGAACACAGCACTACCCGTGGGCTGTCAGACTCCTGAACGGAAAATAATTTCATGTCAACATAGTAGGATAGACTTGTGGGGCCGGCGCTTTGTGCAATGAGTTCACATGGTGCAATAAGACAGTGTTCCAGGAGGCCGAAAAACGGGCCTTCTAGAAATACTGGAAGTGCCGAAACGGGCCTGATTTCAGCCTCCTGAGGCTACAGAAGCTTCTCTTGAGCTTCCGGGAGGGCGAAAATGGCTTAGAACGGCCAAAAATCAGCTGGGAGGTGCGTGCATGAGCAGTGCAGGTAAGAAGGTGGGGTGGGGGTGTTGCACGCACATGTGCAGGGGGCGCGGGAGTGTATTGCATTGTGGGTGCCAGCACAAGCACACCACAACAAAAAGATTCGGCAGCCAAACGCATGGTTAGTGAAGTGGGGAAGGCAGGCCACGATCCACGCAAAGTGGGCCACGAAGGAAGACCAACTGGAGGAGGAGGAGGGGGTCCCACACTTTTCATGGAGTTCAGACCTCAACCATCACATTCACCACCCGTATCTCTGAACTGTCAGGATGCCTGTCGATCTTATTGACAGACTAATAGCTCTTATGCACGTAACAGACCATCCAACTAAACTGTAAATTCAAAATTAGTAAGTCTCATGTAGTTTAAGGTTAGAGCGAATATTGTTGTTAGCATACATGAAATATGAAGCAGACAAAAATAATAATTTAAATGACCCAGAAAAATGTAATACAGGTAATCCTCAACTTATGACCACAATTAAACCCAAAATGTATGTTGCTAAGTGAGAAATGTGTTAAGTGAGTTTTCTCCCATTTTACGACTTTTCTTGTTGTTAAGTAAATTAGTAACCTGGTTGCTAAGTGAATCTGGTTTTCCCGCACCAGTGACTTTGCTTGTCAGAAGGTCGCAAAGGGGGGAATCACGTAAACCTGGGAGACTGCAACCGTCATAAATGTGAGTCAGTTGTCAAGCATCTGAATGTAAATCACGTGATCCTGGGGAACAACGATACTGCAAGGGTCACAAGTTTGAAAAATGGTCATAAATCGCTTTTTTCAGTGCCGTTGTAACTTGGAATGGTCAGTAAATGAACTGTTATAAGTTGAGGACTACCTGTAGTGTCACCTGATTTTTTGGAGCCTCGGTTCAGCTAAAAAAAAGAAAATCAAATGGGAATTAGAATTAGAATTCTTTTATTGGCCAAGTGTGACTGGACACACAAGGAATTTGTCTTTGGTGCATAAGGTCTCAGTGTGCATAAAAAGAAAAGATGCATTTGTCAAGAGTCAAGAATCATCAGGTACAACACTTAATGATAGTCATAGGGCACAACAAGAAATCAAATCATACTAGGAAACAGTCAATAGAAATCGTTAGGATACACGCAGCAAGGTTACAGTTGGAGGAGATGGGTGAAAGGAGTGATGAGAAGATTAATAGTAGTAGTATTGCAGACTTAGTAAATAGTTGGACAGTGTTGAGTGAATTATTTGTTTAGCAGAGTGATGCCTTTCAGGGAAAAACTGCCCTTGTGTCTAGTTGTTCTGGTTTGCAGTGCTCTATAGCGCCATTTTGAGGGAAGGAGTTGAAACAGTTTATGTCCAGGATGTGAGGGGTCTGTAAATATTTTAACAGCCCTCTTTTTGACTCGTGCAGGATACAGAATTCGTCTCTCAAAGGCCACCACCTGTAAGTACCGAGCTTGGCCCATCATTTGGCTCTCAAAAGGAGTGGGGTGGGTTTTTTTGGGAGGGGGGGAACTGCAAGAAGCAGTTTGTCCAAGCGTCCTACCTCCTATTGCGGAGAACTCACCATTTTCTATTTTTCAATGGCTGGGAGATGGAAAAGCCTCTCATCTTCAGAAGGCCTTTGCTCCATCTTATAGTACACTATTACATTTAAAGATTCCTAAAGATTGAGATAATCCAGCATATTGAAGAACTTAGGAAGGATCTTTAGGGGTGTTGCCGTTCCTTGAAGCTCCAGCTAGGAACTTCTGAAAATGGCCAAGGCCCAAACCTCTGGTTATGGATGGTTGTGCATAAACAACAGTCTCCTGTGTGGAGTGGATCTGTCACAGATGCAGTTTGCGTGGAAAACACCCAAACTCGTGGGCTGAGGAAGCTGCGGCCTGCAGCGGGAACAGGGGAGACCTTCCACGGGTTTCACGAATTGGGAGGGTGACGTACTCCGGCCACATATTCCTTTGAGATGATCTCACAGTCTCGTTTTTAGTTTCCACGACCGCTCTTGCAACTGGCCCAAGGACTGAACCAGTCTCACCCTTTGTTCACAAGTACTCGCCCTCCCCACCAGCAATTCCAACCACCCTTCAAGGTAAGCTTACATTCTGGACAGGTCCGTGTAAAAGTTTCCTGCACTTGTTTCCAAGTTGCCATAAAAAAGAGGTGTTTTTTTTTCTTCTTCTCCTTCTCAGACTGGAGAAGCATACAGCAAATGAACTTAGAAGCACATTCCAACAACTTTTTAAAAATTGTAGCTGGGCTACTGGAGCTTTTGCCCACAAAAAACTTGGCAACTCCTTGCAATGGTGGGAAGGAATCTTCCCACCATCTTCCTCTGGTTTGCTTCTCCACGATGGAGTTATGGAGACCCTTGCCCCGGAGACCTTGCCCCACCTACTCTCCAGTCGGACTGGCTTAGCCCTGAGTTCAGGTAAAGCCACTGGCTGCAGGGAGGCTGCCAAAGTGACCTCCTCCCCGGAACCTGCATTATAGGGTTGACTCTGCAGGGGTGCCCTTTGGGGAGCAGCCCCAGCTCCCTTTCCCTCCCCCTGAAAAAGGAGAGCGAAACTCATCTGGAAAGGGAATTTGGGGAAGATGCCGAAGCTCCTTACCTTGGCCACACTTTTGCCTCCTTCACAGTTATTCTGAGAATCTTTATTGCCGCTGAACGAATCTCTTCTCTGTGGGTTGCAGGACTTTTTCTTCCGTGGTCGTCCTTTGAGGTTGGGAGCTGAAAGCAAACAGGCAGCAGTTCAGCCCAATTCCTTACACAGGAGTAATAAAGTTAATGTGCTCCACAAGCTGCGGGAAGCGACAGATCTTCCCTCAAGAACTCTCCAAAGTTGGGCTGTTTCTAGGTCACATGTTCCTGTGGCCATTCCCCACCCCAATTCCCCCTCCCCTCCCCTCCCCTCCCGCCCGTGACTTGGAGTGCCTTCACAGCATCACAGCCATCATACGAAGCCCGTCTGCATTGCTGTTATTTTGGCACAATGGTGCTTGGATGGAGTTGTTAGCGAGAAGTGACCTATATTACATTTGCTCCTGGCTCATCCAGTGCTGTTTACATTTGAAAGAACTAAAGAAAAACACCAAGTGCCTTTTGCAGAGCTAGGAGGAAGCAGCAGATAGTGCTTGCATTACGTGGCCATTCCTTGTGGGCATGCACTGAACAGAATAACACAGTTGGAAGGGACCTTGGAGGTCTTCTAGTCCAACCCCCTGCACAAGAATCAGGAGACCTTATACCACTTCAGACAAGTGGCTGTCCAGTCTCGTCTTTAAAACCTCCAGGGACGGAGCCCCCCACAGCTTCTGAAGGCAAAGCTCTTCTACTGGTTAATTCTCCTCACTGTTAGGAAGTTTTCCTTAATTCCAGATTGCTCCTCTCCTTGGTTAGTTTCCATCCATTGTTTCTAGTCTGGCCTTCTGGGGCTTTGGAGAAGAGGTTGACTCCCCACCCTCCGGTCTCTGTGGCAACCCGTCAAGTACGGGAACACTGCTGTCATGTGTCCCCCCCCCCCCACCCTTGTCCTTCTGTTGACAAACTTGCCATTCGGTGGTGATGTGTACCTTCCCCTTCTGGCCATGCCCTTGGGGGGGACGGGGCATCAGAGGGGGGTCCTGTCTGCTGGCAGTGAAGCAGGGAAAGGATGGCAGTCATTGAGGGATTCCTTTATTCTCAACCGTTCAAATGAAACCATCCTTTACCAAATTAGTGTTTCATGTAGGGCCTTTATTGTCAGCGGCCAGAAACTCCAGATTTACAGAAAATGAAACCATTTCGAGTTCATGTTTTATATTATAAAGGGGGGGAAAATGGGGAAAAGAAGGAAGTTGTTTTGTTTGCTATGGAAAATAAGCCTTATAAATTCAGCCTTGAAATCCCAACAACCTTCAGCAGGAGAAACAATCATTAATTGGTGATTGATAACTTCAGCCTCTCTTTCTTTGAGAGCAACCATTGTTTTCATTACTTCTAGGGATGATTATAATGATGTCAGGAATCTAAACACCACAAACCTCTTGAGTGGCTTTTAATTGTTTCTAATCTTACATTTGTCACACAAGAGGTTTTAGGACATTGTACATTTTAATTAGTTCTCTGAAGCAAAGCTGTGCTAATTTGATCCTGATGCTCTGAAACAAGGGTTTCCTGGGAGTGTGGAAAGACAGCCACCCCAGCTTCTTCCCCGCCTGTTTCCTCCAAACATCCACACTGACCTCCTGCTTGAGAACTATCACTGCCCGGAAGTCCAAGGGGTCAGACGGGGCTGGCACGCAAGAAAGGCAGAGCACAAGCGAGGGAGCAAGCAAGGAAGGCAATAGAAGGAATAGTTACCGTCCCAGACGGCAAACATCTGCCTGATTTATCTTTGGACTGCTGGATGCTGCAGCCTGTGGCTGAGCACTGCACAACCCTCTCAGGAAGTCTGTCTTTTTTCCTTGGAGCTGCACCTGGCGCTCCCCGTTGCACTGCCCAACGAAGGACTGGGCAGCAGAGGGAGGGATGTGTACCCCGGCTGCAGCTCACAGTCCCTCCTTTGCAAATGGAGCCCAGGATTGCATTATGATGGGTCTGCTGTGCTGACCTCCTGGCCTGAGCACACAGAGATCCTCCAAAAAGGAAAGAAGGGAGGAGAAGAAGAGGAGAGGACAGCCTTGGTACTGTCTCCCTCCAGAGAGAGGGCCTCGGCTCCAAGGGCACCCCGGATTCATTGCGCTAAAACTTCCGGCTGGGCCTGCAAAAAGGGGGCAAACTCCTGTTGAGCAGAATGAAGCAGAGATGGTTCCCAGCAGGAATTTGGGGGAAAGAATTAAAAACTTAAATGGAGCAATGGAGCCCGTCTGGTCTGGAGGGAAAACACACACCGGCCCCACCTTACGTCTCATTTCAGGCAAACAAACCCCAAATTAAGCAGCAAAAAAAGGCCACTTTTCTAAAGAGCAGACAAGTACCACGGCAGTAACGTGCAATTTTTTTGTTGTTGAGGAGTTTGGAGGGAAATATCTTCTCTAGAAACTTCATACTCTGGGTATGACACAATGTGATTTTAAATTGTACCATATCAGATGAATAATTAAAAGTGTCTCAATGAATCATCAAGGACCGTGGAATTTCACTGACTAGCAAAAGACAGGCTGACATTAAAGCAACATTTCCATTCCCTAAACGGCTGCGTATGTTTACTTATTGCTCCTAAGTGACTAACACTTCCCTTGGCTAGAAAAATAAATCATTGATAAGAAAATATTTATAGTTCCATGTATTTATAGTGTTCATAGTGAAACTCTTACACAAAAACATTTGACAGTGGCCCACTTCTTGCTAAAGATATTTGCAGTGGAAGAGTTCAGGATGAAGAATACTTTGTATTTTCTTAAACTCTTTTTCCAAGAATGAATGAATTAATGAGTGTTAATACACCAATGTTGTTTTGTTTTGTTTTTTAAATCAAGGACATCAGGTCAGCCAGATTATCTCCAGAGTGTACCAAAGAAAAGCAAACTGAAAAAAAGCTTTTTAAGAAGTAATAGTATCTAATCAGAGAAGGATAAAGGTTGCCACCTGCAGGGACCTCTGAGGGACCCCACTTAACGTTGGGTTTGGGAGAGTGAATGTCCTTGGGAGAGGAGCAGGATTACAAGGGATCCCACAACCTGAAAGTCAGTAATCCTGTGTTTCAGCTTTCCATTTTTTATTTTGCAGTCACCATCATAATAATCATGGCAGATCAATCCGCTGCAGAAAGATGGCCTCTTCCCTGAAGGGGATGGATCAGAATCTTATGATAGAGCTGTAGTTGGGCAGTGGTTAAAATGCAGTTATAGCAGGCTAACCCACTGCTCACTCGCGGAGTTTGATCCTGACCGGCTCCAGGTTGACTCAACCTTCCATCCTTCCGAGGTGGGTAAAATGAGGACCCAGATTGTTGCGGGGCAATAGGTTGACTCTGTAAACCGCTTAGAGAGGTCTGTAAATCACTGTGAAGTGGTATATAAGTCTAAGTGCTATTGCTATTCCTATCATGGTGATCTGATATGAGTTAGATTATTATTTTTTAACTTCTAGGGTGAGCAGGGAGGAACTACTGAAAGTCACCCAGCTGACTTCAGTCCTAGGAGAGGGTTGCAACCTGCTTCTCCCACTGCTAGTCCAAAACCTTCCCCTTCACTACTCCGGCTCTCATGCATGTATCCATGTCAACATAGTAAATAATTGTACTATTCTTCAACTTCTTTAGGATCAATGAATATAGGCATCCCCTCTCTTCACCTTGTAAAGACCAATGACCTATGACCTAAGACCAGAAATAAAAGTTAAAATAAGAAAAAAAAAAGTAGTAAGAGAACACCTGTCTGATCTTGATGAAAACAAATCACCGGGGCCTGATGGATTACATCCCAGAGTTTTAAAGGAGCTGGCAGAGGTCATCTCAGAACCACTGCGCCATATCTTTCAAAAATCCTGGAGCACCGGGGAACTACCAGAGGACTGGAAAAGAGCTGATGTGGTTCCCATCTTCAAAAAAGGGAAAAAAAACAGACCCAGGAAACTATAGACCAATCAGCCTAACATCAATACCCGGGAAGATACTGGAAAAGATAATAAAAAAACAGATCTGTCAACATCTAGAAACAAGTAAAGTAATAACTAGCAGTCAGCACGGGTTTGTTAAAAACAGATGATGCCAAACCAATCTTATTTCATTCTTCAACACAGTGACTAAATTAGTAGACCAGCAAAATACTGTGGACATAATATATTTAGATTTCAGCAAGGCATTCGACAAAGTAGACCACAACCTACTTTTTAGTAAGCTAGAAAAAAGTGGAATAGATAGCACCACCACTAGATGGACTTGCAACTGGCTGACAAACCATACTCAACGAGTAGTCCTTAATGGGTCTAAGTCTACATGGAGGGAAGTAAGCAGTGGGGTGCCACAAGGTTCCGTCTTAGGCCCAGTACTCTTTAATATCTTCATTAACAACTTAGATGAGGGAATAGAAGGGGAACTTACCAAATTTGCAGATGATACTAAGCTGGCAGGAATAGCTAACACCCAAGAAGATAGGCTCAAGATCCAGATGGATCTTGACAGACTAGAACACTGGGCTGTATCTAACAAAATGAAATTCAATGTAGAGAAAAGTAAAGTCCTCCACGTAGGCAAGAAAAACCAAAAGTACACATACAGACTGGGTGAAACCAGGCTCAAGAGCAGTAACTGTGAGAGGGATCTTGGAGTCTTAGTGGACAACCAGCTAAATATGAGCCAGCAGTGTGCAGCAGCAGCCAAAAAAGCTAATGCAATCCTAAATTGCATTAACAGAGGGATACAATCGAGATCAAGGGAGGTACTAATACCATTCTATAAAGCCTGAGTAAGGCCACACCTAGACTAAACTGCATCCAGTTTTGGTCACCACATTATAAAAAAGATGTTGAGACTCTAGAAAGAGTACAGAGAAGAGCAACCAGGATGATTAGGGGACTGGAGGCTAAAATATATGAAGAACGGTTACAGCAGGCTTGTCCAACCCGCGGCCCACGGGCCGCATGTGGCCCAGGTCGCCTCGTAATGCGGCCCAGTGCCCACCCCAACCTTCTGGCAAGAGCCAGCGAGGAGGAGGAGAGGCAGGCGCGAGGCGGGGCGAGACGAGCGCCACGCCAAGCAGCAACAGAAAAGGCGGGCGCCGCCTTTGCTGCTTCTGCCCCCGCCACCG